CTATTCCAGCCAGGATGAGGTTAATGGCTCTGCTTGGAGTAACCTGAAACTCGGCACAGCCACCTCCAACCCCCTGACTTGGGAGGTCCCGACTTTGGGGGCAGAAAATGCCCTGCAGCCCCAGGATCTGCTTTTGTTCTGTGGAAAATGGTGCGGCACGATGCCATCAGCATTCCCGAGGAGGGGGAACACATTCCCGAGGAAAAGGGACACATTTCCAAGGAAAAGGGACTCATTCCCGAGGGAGGGACACATTCCCGAGGAGGGGGAACACATTCCCGAGGAAAAGGGACACATTTCCAAGGAAAAGGGACTCATTCCCGAGGGAGGGACATATTCCCGAGGAGGGGGAACACATTCCCGAGGAAGGGACAAATCCCCGAGGTAGGAACACATTCCCAAGGAAAAAGGACACATTCTCGAGGAAAGAGGACACATTCCCAAGGCAGGGACACATTCCCGAGGGAGGGACACATTCCCGAGGGAGGAACACATTCCTGAGAAAGAGGACACATTACCAAGGAAAAGGGTGATATTCCCGAGGCAGGGACAAATTCCCAAGGAAAGGGGACACATTCCTGAGGAAAGGGGCCATATTCTCGAGGCAGGGACACATTCCCTAGGAAAAGGTACACATCGTATGGAAAGGGCCATATTCTCGAGGTAGGGACACATTTCCAAGGAAAAGGGACAGATTCCCAAGGAAAGGGGACACATTACCAAGGAAAAGGGCGATATTCCCGAGGCAGGGACAAATTCCCAAGGAAAGGGGACACATTCCCAAGGAAAGGGGCCATATTCTCGAGGCAGGGACACGTTCCCTAGGAAAAGGGACACATTCCCAGCGCTCTGGATCAGGCCATGAAGCACAGAGCTGTAGGAAATAGTGAGGTTCATATGTGGCTCCATCCCCTTTTCCCAGTCTCTCAGTGGTTGCTGTCACCTTGTCCTCAGCTCCGAGGTCACATCCAAACCTAACCCTCCTTCCTACACCCTCTTATCCAAGTCCCCCATCCAGTTTAATGAGCCAAGATGGCGCCAGCCCCGTGAGGGACCCGCCATCTTAGGCCCAATGCCACCACGAAATGGTGCTCAGCACCTCCTTTCTCCTCTCTCCCTTCCTGCTCCAGGGACTGTCACAGCTCCCTGCAGGTGTCCCAGGGTGTCACTGCTGATTTTTCATGCTCATGGCAGAGCACTTGACTCAGCATCCTCTGCCACCCACCACAGGGACACCCCAAGGCACTCCCAGGACCCCCAGTCCCAGTTGCTGCCATGGATTCCAGCCCTGGAATTCCAGCCCTTGTGTTTAGTTATCATTCTGCTCCTTGCCTTTGGGTGTTTGCCCAAGTCGAGCCTCATCATGCTGGGGGTGAAGCTTTTCTTGGGGTTTTTCCCTCAAAAATCCAGGTGGCCCTGGCTGAGGCCACATGCCCAGGCCCACAGAGCGTAACTTCACCCCCCATCTGTAAATATTTCATAATATTCAATATTAGCACCGTTATTTCATTGCAAACACACTGAAATTCCCCTTTATTTCAGAAATGCACACTGCAGGGGGTTACTGCTACCTCCTCACCCCCATATTTTGTATTTTGCTGTAAAATGAGTAAAATGGTAACTTTTATCCCAAAATGGCACCTGGACTGGCTTCAAGGGGGCTGTTCCCAGGAAAAGTGGTTTAACCAGGGAATGTCTCCGTTTGCTGTGGGATTAAAGTCTGGTTTAAGGGCTTTACTCATCCCTTCCTCATTCCCATGGGAATGATCCCAGCGCTGGTGCCACCTCCAGAGCAGGACAGGTGACCATGGCAGAGCAGGAACCATCCTGATTCATCCCCTTTCCATGAGTGAAAAACTGGGAATTCCTTGCCAACCTCCACAGCAAATTGCAAAGGAAGGAGATTTAGAAGCACATCCCAGAATTTGTGCCATGAGGTGGGTGGAGGGCTAAAACCCCATTTTCCCATTTGGAATTCTTTCTTCACAGATCCTTTAAAAATCTGGGTGAGCTCTTTTCTCTCCTCCTCAGATTATTTCTCATCCCTCATCCTCCAAGTTCATTTAGGGAGAATAAATAAAAAACACTTGGCAGAACGTTCCTTGTGCCAGATCCCAAGGATCAGGATCCAAGGTCATTTTGGACACTTTAGGACCTGCTAGGAAGATGAAAGAGCTGCAGGAAAAAAAAAAATTTAAAAAAATTTAAAATATGCTGTTTGAGCTTTTAAATTGGCAGCAGCCACTGTTGCAACTCCAGCCTCTCCATAGCTTTTTCAGGAAGGCTGGCACAAGAGCAGGGTGAGATGGAGAATCCTTGGAAAAATAGGTTCATAAATCTTTTAAAAAAGGAGTTTGGAAGGAAGAAACTAAATGAGCTGAGAATTAATAATTACTTGATTTTCAGCAAATAATCCCTCCCTTAAGAGAGGCTGGCTATGTGAAGATGAGGCAAAGAAATGCCAGCACCTGATCCTGAATTCACCAGAGTCCTAAAGTACACTTGGAGCTTTAAGCCACTACCAATCTGGGTGGAAAAAAACCTAAATATCCATCAAACAGCCAATTTCAGCATGTTAAATTTAGTTTTATTTCCTTTCTGGAGATGGTTTGAGAGTCCTTCAGCAGCACCTTCCCAACCCACCCCATTTGGGTTGTGACCACACCACACTAACGTGACCCAGGAGCACCATGAAACATCCAAAATTCCTACAAAATTTGGGGAACCTCCAAACTGGAGGCACCAGGAAGAGACATTTCTATTTCTTCCACCAGGAGCCAGGGCAGAGCAGCTCAGAGGGAGCAGAGGAGCCACAAAGCCCAGCTTGCAGCTCATGCAGAATTCCCTGCCAAGCTCTGGTGAAAATCCCAGGAAAAGCAACAGGAACCTGGTGTGGGACCAGGGTTGGGATGAAGCCAAAAAGAGTGGCCCAACTGCTCCTCCAGCATTTGCAGCTCTGATAGAGACACCACAAACCCTCCAAGAGGAACCATTAACTGGGAAAAAATCCTTTCTGGAAAGAGGCTCCAAGGAAGGAGGAGTGGAGCTTTTCCTGCTGGCTCAATTTCGGATCATGAGCTGAGCTGGGCTCCTCGAGCTGGCACAGATGGAAACACCAAAGGCACCTTCAGATGGCAAGGACAGAGAGAGTTTGGGTAATCAATTAACCCCTCACTCATTAATTTCTCATTAATTACAGCACCTCCAGAGCTGCTGGGTCATTGGGAACATCAGCACAGTCAGAAGGAACAGGAGATGAACTGCTGGGAATGCTCAGATGGAATTCTGAGATGAAGAGCACCACAGGGAGACAATTCCAAGCTTTCCTGCCTGGACTGACACCAGGAGAGGCCCTTGGGAGGGGAGGATGAGCTGCAGGTTCTGTGTCCCAACAGGACACAGGAATTCCAGGACAACTCAGAATTCTAAGGATCTCTCAGCAGTGCCAGCATCAGGAACAGCCCTCGGATGGGAATGAGATTTTCTGGCAGAGAACAACCTGCAAACTGAATTTGAAAATGTGAAAATTCAGCTTGAGAGGCAAAGCAAAGCAACCCCCACGTGTTTGCTTTGCTCCTCTGCCTCTGGCATTTTTGGGAAACAACTCTGGGAAAGAACCCACAGCAAAGTGGAAAATTTAATGCCCAAAAGGCTGTTGCAAGAGAAAGATTCCTATTCAAACCCCAGCACAATTATGCCCCAAAACACACAAATATTAATGAACTACCACACAAAGGCCATTTCTACTACAAGAAAATTCCTTTTTTTTGTTTTTTAATTCAAAGAAAAAAATGGTATTTTAATAAATACTGCAGAAACATTAACCAAACATACAAAGTGACTTCAACAATTAAAAAAAAAGTAATGAATGTCCTGCTTTATAACAGTTATAACTTATTTTTTCCACAATATTTAAATACAGAAAGAAGCACTTACCAGCTATTTTGTAATACTGCCCTAAGAGCACGGTTGCATCAGTTAAAAGCTTATTATGGTGGTCAAAAATGTCTTTTTTTTTTTTTTTTTTTGTGGGAAATAACCAGAATGGGAGTGAGATTTGTCTTCTTTTCTCAGATGAAACAAAGTGCTGGGAACACACAGAACTGAGATTTAATTATGAGTTCATATCTTTACCTTTGCACGAGTGAACAGAGCTTTTAAACACTTCAAAAATGAAGCATCACCATTGGGTATGAAATGCTTGTCCTCCACAAGCAAAAACCAGCCTGCTCAGAGCTTTGTCTCCTTCCTTTGGGAGAAGTTTGGTGAGTCAGGAAGAGTCGCAAACCATTGGAAAAGGCTGATTTAATTCAGTGTAACAACAGCAAAAAGGGATTGTACTGAACCAGTTCACCCCATTTCAGGATTTGGGGGCTGGATACTTTTGTGTTAATCCTAAAACTAAGGGCAGTATCCAGTTCCCACTGGGGACCCCTTAAGGCCTCACAGTTCTTCAGACCCCTTTTCCTCCCCAAAATGAGGAGCACCACAAAAGGCTCAGCTGGCTCATTTGCAGGTTTTTGAGGGGTATTTTTGTTTTGTTTTTTTTTTTTTTTTTGCAGTGAACCACATCCCAGAAGAGCATTTCTCTGCAGCTTTCTGCGGGATCCATGGGCTCTCCAGCTCCTGGGAGAAGCCCAGGGGGGTTTTTGGGGCTTCCCCAGGTGGGCAGTAAGGCTTAAGGAACGATCAGGGCTGCAAAACCACCACGAATCATTTGCCATCACAGCTCTCAGCACCTCCCACTTGAACCTACAGCAACGAGGCCACACAGAACACCAGCACTGGGCACCAACTCCACTCCACATCACAACCACAAAGAGGAACAGCCAAGTCAGAGCCCTGCAGGGCTGCTTTGCCCCCACTCCCCTCCCCCCAAACCGCATCCATCTCATTTCCACGGCAATTCTGGGAATCCTCAAACAGTTGTCTTCATCCCCATCGTGGATCAGCAAGGCAAAACTCCAACGTTTTCCTCTAGGTGACACACACGGCCTCGGTATCCTCTCCATTTTCACAATCAGCTACTAAAAAAAATGAGATCAAATCCTTTGGAAAACCAACTCTAAGGTCACGGGGATAGTTCCTTAATGAGAAGGGGCGTGTTAATAACGTCTTCATTAAAAAAAAAAATATCCCATTAAAGTATTATTTGAATGAAATCAAAGTGGTAGCATCCAGGAGCAGAGCATTACTAAAAGAAACAAGCACTGTCCATCACATCTCTCCTTTGCAGGGTTATTTTCCCAATCACTCTCTCTTCTCTCAGCACATTCAAACGTTTTCCCTTTTATTATTATTTTTTTGGCATTGTCTTCAAACAGAAATTCCTGATGCCACCTCTCTCAGAGCCTTTTCTTCCTGCTGCTCAGTCCTTAAGTACAGTCTCACACAGCAGGAGAAGTCTCCATGAAAGCACTGGCAAAGCCCTCATTAAACACCCTGTGGCTGTGACTTCATTGAGCTCCAACCCCTCCTGGATCTTCCTCCTCCTCCTCCTCCAGGAAATCCCAGCTCCTTCACATCACCGTGCAGCTCTTGGCTTTGTCCTTTCTCAAGTCCGTGGCCACTGTGGACAGTTCTGGCCTGCCAGGCATGTGTGAAATTCGCTTTGTGGCCCTCTGAGATTTGTTTCGTTTCACATTTTTGTTTGTTTTGTTCACACACGCCAGGGTGGCGACGTGAAAAATGTCTCTGACACTGTTTTCTGACTGTAAGGCTGAGCATTCGATGTATGTGGCTGCTCCAATCTGTTTGGCCATATTTGCACCCTGAGGGGAAAAAGGAACATGTGATCAATACCAAGTTGTGCAAAATCCTCCCAATTCCAGCTCTGCACTGTTTGCCTGGAAAAAACAAAGCTGACTTGGGAAAATAAACAGAGATTTGCTTCCAGGAGGAGCTAAACAAGTGTCCAAGTATTATCTGCTTGGAGAGAATTGGGAGAGAAAAGGAAAACTGCAAAAAGCCTGAAGGGTCTGTGTGAGGTCTTTTCAGCAGTTTCACCTTAACCTGAATCTGGGAAATTCCTGGAAAATCTGGCAGCTGAAATTCCTTAAGACACAGAATTTCTCTTTGGAATAAGCAGCTGCCCTGAGCTGGAGCAGAGCCCCTGTTCCAGCTCCAGGAAGAGGGCAAAGTTCTTAGGGAAATGTGTTCTGGGAGAGTTCTATCAACTTCCTGACAGGGAACAGGGGAAAAAAGGGAAAAAGGGCATGAGGGCTTATAGGAGTCCATTTTTAATTTTTATTTGGCCATATTTGCACCCTTAGGGGAAAAAGGAACATGTGATCAATACCAAGTTGTGCAAAATCCTCCCAATTCCAGCTCTGAGCTGTTTGCCTGGAAAACCCAAAGCTGACTTGGGAAAATAAACAGATTTTGCTTCCAGGAGGAATTCAACAAGTGTCCAAGCATTATCTGCTGTGCTGATAAACACAAATTGGGAGAGAAAAGGAAACAACTGCAAAAAGCCTGAAGGGTCTGTGTGAGGCCTTTCCAGCAGTTTCACCTTAACCTGAATCTGGGAAATTCCTTAAGACACAGAATTTCTCTTTGGAATAAGCAGCTGCCCTGAGCTGGAGCAGAGCCCCTGTTCCAGCTCCAGGAAGAGGGCAAAGTTCTTAGGGAAATGTGTTCTGGGAGAGTTCTATCAACTTCCTGATAGGGAACAGGGGAAAAAGAACATGAGGGGTTATAGGAGCCCTTCTTTAGTGATTTTTAAGAAGTCAAAGCAGGGATTTTTGTTCCAGCAGCACAAGGCAACACGTGACAATAGCCCAGGATCCCATGGTGGATTTTGCCACTGGAACACAATACAGCATTATGTGAAAAACCAGGAGTTGTTCCAAGGGAATTTGATTTCTGAGGGGTGAATCTTTACTAAGTTACAAAAACCAACCACATCCTTGATTTTGCTACTGAAAACAATACAGCATTAAGCAAAAAAAAGGGAGTTGTTCCAAGGGAAATTTGATTTCTGAGGGACGAATCTTTACTGAGTTACAAAATCCAACCACATCCTTGAGGTGCCACCCCCGTGCCTGCCTCCAGCCCCTCGGTGCCAGCCTGGTGACACCAATCCCTGGGCACCCAGCTTCCTGTTTGCCCTGCAGTGATGCTGCCCCTTATCAGTGGCACAGGGGAGAGGCCTGATAAGGCAGCAGGAGCTGGTGGGAGCAGCCTCCCCACAGTCAAACATCTCAGCTCCTGCTCAGCTGAGCCTCAGAAATGTTTGCTCAGGTGGAGCTGCCTGAACTGGCAGGCTGGAGCAGGGTGTCACCAGCCTGTCCTTACCCTCCCAGAGCTTCCTGATGGACTTCAGAGGAATGGGAAAGCTCTGACTCCATTCCAGGCAAGGGGATTTAGAAAGAGCTGTGTGCTCTGTGTTCAGCTGACTCCTGCTCCTCTCAGGGGTACAGGCTGAGCTGTGAAGCCAGGGGGAAAAAATCCACCTGCCAGCAGAGTTTTGATCACTCTCATGGAAAGACTTGATTTTACTGAAGTCCTGCCATTTTCCAGTGTAAACATGCTGCATCCTCAGTAACCCCACATCAGGAGCTGCTGCTTTGGAAAACATGAGGGAGAAACCATCCCAAACTGGTTGCTAAAGCCACTGAGGTGACTCGTGGAGGTGCCACCGTGCCTCCCACAGGGTGATTCAGCTGCCATGGATGATCACACACATGTGAGTAATAAAGGGAAGCTCATCTCAGAGCAGTTTCCCTGTTCCCTGCATCCTGCTCTCTCCCATGACCTCATTCCTTTCCCTTTTCTCTCCTCTAATGCCTGCCTCCAAACTTCTCCCTCCCCCAAGAGCAAAGAACTCATCAAGAATTAAGATGCCTTCTGGTGCTGCTGCACCTTCAGAAGGACAGACAAGGAGTTTTTTAAGGAATTGGGGACAGGCTATATTCCAATATAATGTCATGATTCTAAAGGCAAACAACATTCAAATCTGAAGTCTGCAGACAGCAATTTTTACCAATTTGTCAGTGAATAAACAGGATGTGTCACCTCTTAGCTAGATTTTTGGCGTGTGCAGGCACAGAAAAGCAGGAAGTTTTTAACAACTCACCTAAACAGCAATTTGCAACCAAAAAGCCAACAATTTATGATGTTTAAAGGGATGATTTTATGATGTACTGCGGGGCTGCAGGACTTCCTTTAGTCCTACACAGCTTTCAAACCAAGGCAAATCTGCCTTTTAGGCTGCACTGGTGTCATCGTGAGGCAGCAGCTGCTCACAGTGAGGGCTCCAGGGACAGAAAAGGGGTTTTTCCTTCCCTCCTGAGGGGCAGACAAGGAGGTGGCCCCTACCTGGTCGTAGGACACGGGGGTCTGCCTGTGGTTGGAGAGCTCCACCAGCGTGCTGACATCGGTGCGCAGGTCCGACTTGCAGCCCACCAGCAGCATCTTGGTGTTGGGGCAGAACTCCTGGATCTCCCCTTTCCACTGGAAAAGTGCAAGTTTTGTTAATTGCTGGAAGGCTGAGGATTTTAGACTTTTCTTTCTTTTAGGCTAAACCCCAAGGGAACGCTGCATTTGATTTAAGGCGGCGGAGAAAGCTCCCAAAATTGAAATTTTGAATTCTAAAATTATAGGTGTGTGGTTTGATTAGAAGTGTGTAATATCACACAGTAGAAAACTTACAGTTTAAAGTTTTAGACTACAGTAATTTATATAAAACAAGATAAAAGTTTTAAGACAAAAGCTGGTCTTTCTTCATGGGTTTGGGTGGAATTGTGTAATTAGATTAAAAAATCCACACTACATGCCACGAGTAGTTAGTTATTAAGTTAAAGATAAGAATAATTTAACTGCCATTTCTTAATTAGATAGTTTATCCTTGAAAAACCCTGTAAAAAGAAATAGAACTCCATTTTTAGTTTATTAAAGTAAAATACTGTAGAACTCATAGTTTGTAAAACTGTGATATAAATAAAAACTAAGTCTAAACAAAAACTACCATCTCACACATTTAATCCTGACCCTAACAAAATAAAAAGATAAAACTCAACAGTTAAAGTTTAAATCCAAAGAGCCAATAAGTAACAACTTTAATCAGTCCTGACATCCCACGCTGAAATATTTTTATGTAATGTCTGGATTTGCCTTCAAGGTAATTTGCTGAAGGCATCAGCTCCAGCAGAACTTGGTCAAGGATGAAATCTTCCTATCTCACACACTCATGAATTCCACTGGCTTACTAATCAGGAGGGAATGAGTTGTGTACCCACATGAGCAAAGGTCTGCAGAGCTGCTGTTTCCCACACCCAGCCCCAGCAGAAATGGTGTCCCCACCTTCAGCTGTACAACCACAGGGCTAAATGTGGGTTTATTGCTGCATTCTCACCCCTAAAACTACACAAATCTGTCCCAGGGGAAACAGCAAGGAGCCCCTCAGACAGAACTTGGGATAAATTCATTTGGTTTCATCTTTCTGCAAGGTTGTGTTGAGAACTCAAAGCCAAAATTTCACAGCATAATCCAAACATGATACTCCCTAAAATTTAAGGCTGTAATTTGGGTTTTAAAGCATTTTAAGTAAAATCTCTTGCAGGATTAAGTAATCAAGCATGAGCAGGGACAGAAAAACCACAGCTCTGGATGCTTTTTGATGCAGACAGAGTAGTTTTGAAGTATTTTTTGTAGGCTATTCAGAGCATTGTAAGGCACTTTATCCCAGTGAGACAAGAATCACTGGCCCCAGCCTCAGAAAAAAAAGCAACTTCAGGTCATTAAGCCCCAAACCCACCACTGTGAAGCTGAGTCATGCTCAGCAGCCAAGGAGAGGACCAGGACCACCCTGCAAACACAGAGCCTGACTATGGAAATTCAGTGTTTGAGCTGGTGGGAAGTGTGGCACAGGCTGGGATCAGTGATCTCATGAAGGGCTTGGGGCAGGGCTGCATTTCTGTGCCACTGCAAGCTCTGCTGGTGCCTTCCAGAGGCATTTGTCACTGCTCCTTCACACATCAGCCTCACAAATTATGTAAGGCCGTGGCAGAAGTCCAAACACTCGGCAGATAATTTTTGCCCAGCGAAGTTTCCCAATCCTGTCACAGGAACATGTGAGATACAATTTCTTACAGCACCTCACACCACCCTCAACAATTCCTTGCTGTCTCAGGGCTGAGGAATGAGAATTTCCTTCAGCCTCCAAGTGTCCATTAGCGAGTTTTTGTTTTCAATTAACATCCACCCCTTTCAAACAAATGACCTCAAATTAAAGCACCCTCCTGTCATCGCTCCATTGAAAGAAACAAAGTGGAAGTTTCCAGTGCAGGAACAGCACCACTGCAGGGGCATTTCAAGATGAGCTTGTCCAGCAGAGCTCTGTGCTCAGGGCTTGCTCAAGCACTTGCCTTTTTTAGGACACTGTCCAGGGTTTCTGGCCGACTGATGTCAAAGCAGATCAGGACAGCGTCGGAGTCAGGGTAGGAGAGCGGGCGGACGTTGTCGTAGTAAGGAGAGCCTAAGGGAAAACACAAACAACATCTCCATTAATTGCTGCCTTCCTCTTCCTGCAGCCATCCTGACAGCCTGGAGAGGCTTTCAGTGACAGCCCCCCAGTGATCCAGCAGCCACCAAAGGCTTGGGATGCTCCCAAGGAGAGGGAAAACACTCGGCTCAAGTTTAAGGCCCAGCATTAACCTGCAGGAGAACAAATCCTCCAAGCCCCAAAAAGGCTTTTTCTAAAGCAGATTTGAAATTCCTCAGTTTTGATTTGTCTAACAGTTAATTTAAAACAAATAGCTCCAAGTGCAAAAAGCATCTTTAGCTGTCACATTGGCAATGTTTAGAAGAAACTCTTGCTTCAAATTGAAGAACTTGTTGCAGGAAACAGATTTCCAGCAGGGAAAAATCCCAATCCTGTAGGCAGGCACTCAAGTTATTTGTCACAAAAAGCCTCATTAATCTGTAAACCAATAAAGCTTGCAATAAATGTTTATGTTTAGCCCATAAACCAGATTTTTATCAACAAGATCAAAGCTAATTTAGTAATCTGGGGGAACAGATGTAAGTACAGTGCTGCTCTTTGTACTTGTTTTACTTGCAGGCCTGTGGAGGGGTTTTCTGCTTTCCTTAACAGCAATCATGATGTGGGGAGTTAAAATCTGTCCAGGGTTTAAAATCGTATTTTAATCATCTGGTGAATCTGGCAACAGGTTTGAGGGGGAAAGAAACAAAAAAAAAAAAAATCTTTGGTTTTTCTAAGAAGTTGCTCAACCACCATTAGGTTTGGCCTTAACTGTGCTGAGCTTCACTTCCTGAGGAAAATACATTTCTTAAAGCATTTAAAAGGGCATTTAAACCAGTTCAGTGGTCCAACAGGGCAAGGGCTTGGGCAGCTTAAAATTCATTTTCTCAGCCCTCACACATCCTTACTTCTGTAAATCCTACAATACAGCAGAGCCCCTAAAACACAGCATGGAACACCCCCCCCAAGAACCCAGCTTGCAGGATTTTGGGGGGTTATCAGCTCATTATCCCACGGATTTCCCAGCTCTCCAGAACTAATTGGCTGCAAGGCCTCTGATTATTAACTGGATTAGAGGAATTGCTCAGGTTTTGCCCTGACAGACAGCTCAGGCTGTTGCACAAGGAATGGTGTGAAGGGCTCGCAGATGACTTCACTTGGAAGGCTTCTCCTGCACGGGAAAGGAGGCAAGAATCCCAGGAATGTTGTTTTTGAAATGAGGAATAACACATGGGGAGTGAAGCATTACCAAAGTAGGTAGCAGAAGGTAATTTGGTGAACGAGAAGGATTTAATTCGAATGCTCATCTCTGTAAATGATGTCAATCTGACAGAGCTGTCAGAAAAGGCTCTTCACACCCCACTTCAGCTGAATTCAGCACAAATGACACGTTGGGAACAAATCTCAGCGAGGTGACCTGGAGTTAACTCCTCACTGCAGCTATCAATGAGCATTTTCCACTGCTAATTACAGCCCAGGATCTGCAGCACTGCTGTTACAGCCCTGTCCTGCAGCCCCAGGGCTGGGTTCTTCACCCTGGAGCCCCAGGCTGGGTTATTTGTCCCGGACAGGAGGAACTGCAGCACCCAGTGGCACCGAGAGCCACCGGGGTGACATTAAAGCACTGCCCCATCTCCCTGAGCTCCAGCAAGCACGGGCAGGACCGAGGGAATCCTTAATGGGTGCTGGCTAGAAAGGAGTCTCAGCAAAGCCTCACCCAGAAACTCATTCCTCACACAAATACCTCTGGGCTCACTCAGCAGCTCCAGGGATCCCATTTATGTCCAGGAGATGGATTTGTGCTCACAGAGTCCCCACCTCCAGCCCCGAGACTCCTTCCCACCCCTGCTTTGCTTGGAAGGTTCTTCTTTTTTCCCCCCCTTCTCTTTGAATTTCTCCTATTTCAGACGCTGAGCTGGAATAAAAGCACTTGTAGCAAGCTTAGGAGGGATATTCCCCAGCTTTTCTCCAGGCTGGTGTGTGGCAGAACAAACAGAGCCCATTTCAATTCCTGGAGCTGCAGGATCCACAAAGGAAATTTCCTGCTCTCATTTATAACCAAAGCTTTTATTCCTGTGCAAATAAAGAGGGGCTGCAGCCCTCACTGTGCAGGCCTATTCAAGCTGGCATTTTCATGCCTTTGCCCAGAGAAACCCTCAGAAGGCAGGAATGTGAGGAATGAGGCTCGCTCAAGTCTGAACAGACAACTCCAGCACAGCCCAGCCAGGCTGCTCCCTCTTTTTCATGTTCCTCTGCAGATTTGAAGCTGTGCCAACCCTCGAAAACAGAAGGAGAATGTGGAACTGGAGCCATGGTATTTGTGGGGAGAGAAAGAAAAAAGAAAAAAAAAAAAAAAAAGCCTATTTGTGTTTGGGATTCTGTTCCTGCAAAATAAAACATTTTTGGCAAGGACAACATGGGTGGTTTTTCCATCTTATCAAGGGGTTGCTGATAAGGCTGTAGTTCATTTTCCTTTGTGCTGGACATTTATTCCAGCTGCAATCCTCCTATTCTTTTTAATTTGTTTGGCAGCTTCAATGATTTCAGCCAAAAATACTTGCAACATTAAGGATGGTCTGCTTTTGAAACCTTATGTTTCATGCAGAGTCCAACAAAAATTCAGCTTTTAGTCTGAAATAAAATCCCTCCCCAGCAATATGGCTGGGTTTGGCCTAGAGGGGATGCCAAGCTCAGCTTTAAATATTGCTATCTTAATAAAGAACAGAATTACATCATTAAAAGCTGAAGAGTATTTAATTTTGGGGTGGTTTAGCACCACTTGAAGGTGCTGGATCAGGGAGAGGCGTTTGGCTGGAAGATGCAAAGGCACCAGGAGGGTTCAGCTGCACATCCCGAGGCCAGGAGGGCTCAGTAACAGGCAAGACTTTCCTATTTCCACACCAGCAAGCAGCCACCAGGAATTAGGCTTTGGAGCCTTTTGGAGCCCAGTCAAGTGAAAGAACAACAGATGAACAGCAGCATTCTCACTCCCAAACCCTTGGGCTCACTAATTATCCCAGAAAACACAGCAAACACTGCCTGCTCCAAGGAGCTGATTCAGTGCTGATGGTTTTCCTCCTTCAAAAAAAAAAAAAAAAAAAACAAAAAAACTGGGATGACTGAGGTGGATTTACAGTGCAGGTTATCTCCAAGCACAGAGATATCAAAATATTCACAGTTTTTTGTAGGATCACACCTCCAAGGGAAAACTTTGGGAGGGCACTTGGCATTCCCAGGCACCGATTCTAATTAATTCCCTTGTAAATGTAATAAGAAAACCCTGCTAAAACGGGCAATTAAAACCAGAAAATCACAGAATTCAACAAGAGAACTGGGAGGCAAAGGCAGCAATTGGACTTTTCCTTTGCAGTCCTTACTGCCAGGGAATTTGGGGAATTAGCAACTTTAATTCCTTCAGGTTTCAGCTTTCTCCTGAAAGGTTTCAGCACGAAACTTTCCAATTAATTTCTGTTGGTAGATGGACACTGAGCACGTTGTATACAATAAAAATCACAGCAAAACTAACTTGACTCTCAGCTCCAAGGCCCTTCTGGGTTTAATTACTTGCTAATCCCCAGCAGTTGTAAGTATTTCTGGCCCTGTTGAGAATTATTTTATTGGAGTAGCCACAGTTCAAGCAATAAAGAAACCCCCTAAAACACATTTTAGGGAGACACAGGTATGTGCACCTAATTAATGGCATTTCTAAGCCACAGCTGCTGTTGTCTTAGCAAGAAAAGTATAATATAAATATCAAAGGAGCCAAAAAAACTTGATAAATGCAGATTAGATGGTAGATAAAGGCAACTAATACAGATTTTTTTTCCTTCACAGTGGCCCTGAAAGTACAAGATGAAGCTTTCACCTGGAGAAACTTTTAATATTCCACCTCACACAAGCAGCAGAGCTCCCAAACAGCTCAAGACTGCCACATGTTACCACAGAGCAGAGTAATTTATGGTGTAGTGAGATTGCAACCAGACATTCCTGCTTTGAGAGAGGGCTGGTAGTCCCAAACCCCATTGAAATTCTCCTTGGCAAGTGCTTCCCTTAATGCTGTGGCTAATTTAAATCCTTCTAATGACTTGCAGAACTAGACAGCACCAGCAAACATTTGAATAATGAACCTTCCCGTTCCACTCCACTCTTGCTTGTCCCATATTCCTATGGGCAAACCCAAGATGCAACAACAACTCCCCAATGAATTTTGAATTTTCTATCAGTTGCATGACACCTACAAGTTCTCTGGTAAAAACACATTATTGTCGTTGGTATATAAAGAATTACAAAGCAAAACTGTGGCAGCAGGGCCCGTTCTCACCCTCACACAACTGTTTTAACCAATGGCCACAGCTTTTCTGATTTTCCCAGGGAGCAAAAAAGGAGCTGGAGGTGGCAGTACATCCTTCCAAAGGATTCACTGCAAAACCTAATTATCAACTTTAATTCCAGGCTGTTAAATGCTCCCAGTTAAAAAAAAAAAAAAGAGTTAAAGATGAATACAAAACACTGATTGAGTCATCTTGGAAGTATCTGCAGCATACTCCAGAAAAACCTCAATTAAACAGCATCTTTTCCCCCCTCCCAAGAGATATTCAAGCACCAGGAAACCTGCAGCCATCACCTCCCCCGTGTTGCAATGATCAGCCATCTTTTGAAGTTAATTAGATTTAGTCCTGCTTTAAAAATGCCATTCAGACATCTCTTCCAACTTGGTAGAGGAGCAGGACAAAGACTTGTAAAAATTAAATTACCAAGACTTTCAGATAAGGCTAAAACACTCCCTTATCTTCTGCTGTCTGTTATCTGCTGATGAGATTTTGCTCTGGGTTCATGGGCTTGGGCAGAGCTGGGTTTCTGCACTGGCTGAGAAGGGATGGTGTTCACGGAGCCAGAATTCCTCATCCAGAGTCCCACAGCCACAGGATCCACTCAGTAAAACCGAGCACTGGGTCTTCCAAGCATTTCCTCTTCACTTTGGGGTGTCAGACAAAATCACCCCCTTGGTCTCAAGCTTCTGACTCAACCTCATTTGCTCTGAGTTCCAGGACACAGGACAAAGGCTGGCAGGTGTTTTTTCTTCCACTGCTTTTGTCTTTTGAAGTGCCAGGGAATATTTCATTCCATGGGTGTCTCCAGCCTTTGACAAACAGATTCCAAACCTTCCCACGTCCAGCCCGTGTGTGTGTGTTGTATGTTAATAAAGATAACATATTTTCCAAAATAACTAATAATTTTTAATAAGCCCTTGCTCCGTAGTTCCAGGCAGCTTAGCAATCAGCATGAAAGCTCCAACCAGACATACTCCAGAAATCTGCAAGTCTCACTTGGCACAAGATGAAGAAAAAAAAAAAAAAAAAAAATCAGCTCAGAGCAAAGCTGATACTGGTTGTGGGCAGAGGCTGCCTTTTCCCAGTAATCGTGTTGCAAGAATTTGGAATCGTTTCCTCAACAGCAAGAGGGAAGCCAACCCGCCGCCTAAAACTCCTCTTTTAAACAGGGATTAACATTTTCATTCCTGGTAAAAGAGCTGCTGTCGCACTGAGGAGGAACTGCCGGGTCCAAATTCAGCATTAAGGAGCCATCTACACAGAGAAAGAGAGGCACTGCGTGCTCTGCCAAGTTCCCGCAGGGTTTTTTGCCAATCAGCTCTGCAGATGATGTTGATGCACACCTCTGGTAATGGTTCCTGGTGTCATTCCCCCCTGGACATCCTCAGCTCTCCACAGGCAGAGCCACACCGGCTCCCCACGCTCCTCTCCAGCACTGAGGCAGCGATTTTGGGGTGCTCCCTCACCCCCCTGGCTGTGTGTGCAGCCCAATTATCCAAATTATCAACGACAGGCGGATCTGGAGGAGCTCCTGTCTCAACATGCGAGCAGAGCCAGCCAAACACCAAACCCCTCAACCTTGGAGCCGTCTGAGCCGGTTTCTTCCAGGTAAAACTGGAAGAATGAAGAGCCTGATGGGGGGAAAGGATGGCTCCCTCCACATCCCAGAGAATCAGAGATAAATTCTAAAGGTTTTCCCTAAAAGCCGTTCCTGGTCTTAGAGACTCTCTAGGACACTGAAAAGTGCTATGTTTTGTAAAAAAAACCAAGGAGGCATTAAGGAGGCCCCCAGGAGCTCCAAAGCGAGCTGAAATAATTCCCCATTAGCACATAAACACCTTTTCCCTCTCCTAGGAGGCCAAGCTGGGTGTGCAGGCAGCAGAGCAGCCCAGGTACCCCCGGAGCTCCCCAGAAAGCTCCTTCCAGCCAGGCAGGTGAGAACACATTCCCCTGCAATGCTGACAAACCGCTTCCCGGAGCCTTGTCCACACCCTCAGCCAAGCACATCCCGCAAGGATAGCTGAGATTTTTGTCCAAAAGCCGTCAGAAGCAGCCGCATGCGGAGCCCGCCAGCCCCGCCGCTGCTCCCGATCCCCCCCGAATTGCCGGGATGCGAACAGGAGCGCTCACCCGAGGTGTCCCAGAGGCTGAGCTCGATGCGCTGCGTGTCGATCTCGAAGCTGGCCGTGTAGTTCTCGAACACGGTGGGGACGTAGCTCTGCCGGGAGACAGCGCACGGTCAGCCCGCGCCCATCGCCGCCGCCCCGGCCCCGACCCCGGCCCCAGCCCAGCCCCGCTCCCGTCCCGCGCACCTCGGGGAAGCAGTCCTTGGCAAAGACGTGGAGCAGCGCCGTCTTCCCGCACTGGCTGTCCCCCACCACCACGATCTTGCACTTCACGTTCTGGTTGGGATCCATCACCGCCTTGCTCGATAACTTCTGGCTCGCTCTTCTTTCCTTCATTGATCTCCCCTTAGTCCCTCCGGCCGGCCACAACAGAAGAGAGGGAAAAAAAAAAAAAAAAAAACACCAAAACCAGGCAAAAAACCAAACCACACCCGGGCTCCTCGAGAAAAAAAAAAAAAAGTAAAAGTGATGTGAAAAGCACAATAAAACCGCCGCGGTGGAGGAGGCAGAGCCGCGGACGCGCCGCCGCCCGCCCGCCGGTCCCGCGCTCACTGCTTTGTCCCCCCGCCGCCCGCCTCTATTTATAGCCTCGCGCCCGCCAATCACCGCCCGCCGCCTCCAGGGCCACGCCCCTCTGCCGCGCGCCGCCGGGGCAGTGCGCCCCCTAGGGGAGCCGGGGGGCAGTGAGGGGCGCCCTCAGAGCCGTGGGGGACGCAAAGGAGGGGGCTGTGGTGTTCATCGAGGGAATTTATCTGTAAATGTCGGCGGTGGGAAAGGGATCTGGGGCTGTGCGGCCTCCGGAGGTGGTCCGGGGTCCCTCAGGGGGTGCCCAGTGCCTCGGGCTGGGATGAGGGATGCTGGGGAGAGCTGAGAGAGCAGGGGGTTGAGGGGAATGAGGAGGGGTGAGACAGAGATGAGAAGGAGGGGCTGGAAAAGGATGAAGAGAACTGAGAAGGGATGAGGAGAGCTGAGAAGGGATGAGAGATGAAGAAGGGATGGGGAGAAATGAGAAGGGATGGTGCTTGTGATGGTGGGCAAAGGGGCTTTCCCTTCAAAACATGGTCACAAGGAATATGTCGGGATATCACAAAACCACAGAATCATGGAATACTCCCAGTGGGAAGGTACCACAAGGATCATGGATCCAACCCCTGTCCCTGCACAGACACCCCAAAATCCCACCCTGGGCATCCCTGGCAGCACTGTCCAAACGCTCCTGGAGCTGTTGGGAATGTGCCCATTCCCTGGGGAGCCCGGGCAGTGCCAGCACCCTCTGGGGGAAGAGCCTTTCTCTAACACCCACCCCAAACATGCCCAGACACATCTCCAGCCATGCCCTCAGTGCTGTCCCTGTCACCGAGAGCAGAGATCGGTGCCTCCCAACCATCAACATCCTCCTATTTCCTCTCTTCCTGGACACAACCCCCAGCAAAGCTGGCTGGGGTTCAGCAGAGGATTGAGCATCGTGTCTGAAAGGAGAGCCCTGAACAAGGGACGGTTTGTGAGCAGCTCGTGGCACTCATCTCCCTCAAGAGCTCCTCTCTTTTCCCCATATGGCTCCGTGTGGCAGTGGCATCCCTGGAAAAGGGGCTGGAGCAGAGCCTGCCTCCCCTCTTGCCTCCTTTCTGGCTCAGCCACACACAAGGGTGGCCACCCTGAAGGTGCAGCCTTTGCCTTTTCTCTTGAGTCATCCAGGTCACGAACCCAGTCCGTGTCAGTTCTGGGCTGAAACGCGAGCAATTCATCAAGTTTTAAAACAACATCCTGATAAAAGGATGCTGGCTCGTGCCTGTTTGGCCACAGGGAGATGCTGCCCTGACTCACACAAGAGAATCCCAAACATGACATTTCAAAATTCAGTGCTGATATTTTTGGGGTTTGTGACATGTCATATCTTTCGTAGGTCAAATTACTCATTTCCAAAGGATCGGTTTCTGTTTGGAAACAATGTGTAAAACACTGAAACTCACTCTGTGGGCCTTTTTTGTAAAGCCCTGGAGCAGACAGATTTCCATCTCTTTTTAATGTTTTTAAATTAAAAGCTGCTCCTTTGCAGACTCCATCCATCCCTGCTGTCCACCAGCTCTTTAGAGAAATGGTGGAATGGGAGGACTAAGCAGTGAAGAAAATTACTGCTCACAGGAAGCTGAGTTTTGTTCAATAGTTCAACAGGAGATAAGTTTGGAAAAATAAAGTTGTGTAAAATGCTCTCAGGTGTTCTCCAAAGGGCAGAAAATCCTGATTTTTCTGCCTTTCCCTCTGCTCCGCACTGGAACACGGAGCAGCCTCATGGGCAGAGGAAGGTGGGATCGAGCTCTGGAGTTTCACCTCCAGTTCTTTGGGAGTCCAATGCACCGACCGAGGAATATCTTGGATCTAAAGAGAGAAGAAGATGGGGTTGAAAGAGCTCTTTGTGCATCCTGAGGGGGAGCTGGGTGTGCACATCTGCTCCTGATCAATCCATCGGGCACCTCTGCACATATGGACACAAGATGGACCAAAGCTGGTGCTGATGCTGCCCTTTCCTTGGTGCTTCCCTCTGAGGAGGAATCAGTCTCCTCTGGGGTCCTGGAGGAAACATCTCCCTCACACAGCTCCTGTGGAAAATCTGCCTGCATCCAGCTATGCCTGGAATGTGGAAACTTTAACGCACAGGAACCCTTACTCACCGTGAGCAGAGAGCTTCCATCAGCAGCTCCCGGTGATTTCATCTGCCCACGATTGGTTTGCTGCCAACGTGGCCCAGCCCATCCCCAGGGATTTCGGGTGCTTTGGGCACTGGGGACAATCCTTGCAAGCCGCCAGCTTGTTGGAATTCCTTGGGGAAGCTGCTCCAGATCCGTTAATCCCCATAAACCCATTATTCATGTCAGACCCTTAAGTTTAATGCCTTTTCCCATATCCCGATAACTACGGGGATAAGGCAGTGGGGGTTGATGTTTCCACCAGGATTTTTCACACGCAGTCTGGATTTTTGATTTGTAGGGCCCAGTTTCGTGCTTTGCTTCGTTCAAATTCCCCATTTTTCTCCAGATCTGATCGGAGCCTTTCACAGTTTCTCCTCTTTCCATCCCAGAAATCATGATGTGTATATTAATAACACACACACAATTTGGGACTGGCGTGGTAATGACTCCTGATCCCATCTAAGATTTCATGGGAATATCAAAATACATTTTTCTCCCCTCACAAATAATCTGCCTGAGCACTTTCTATGACTGCAATAAACCAGCTGAGAACAAGTGCTTTTAGTTTCAGAATAACTGCTCGATGATTTAAATCTAAAATTGCTCTCCAGATCTCTCTCCCCGCAATTCCAACCACTAAAGCATCCATGGAAAATACTGAATAAAATACATAAAACATGGATTTTACACATCCCACCCCTTCTCCGCACTGCTGGTGTGCAGCTTAACGCACATTAAAAGAACATTATCGAGGTTTAAGGTCGGACATTTGTGGATTAGGAAATGCGTGTTTCCTGCGTGGGGGAAGCGTGGGCTCCCTCGGGAATGAGTGAGGATGGGCGTTAAGTCCATGATCACATCTGATTTTTTTTTGTTTGTTTGTTTTATTGTTTTGGTGGGGTTTTTTTGTTTGTTTTTTCCAGAACCCAGGAGTGATTTTGTCGCCTCAACGAGCACCCATTGAGGGACATCTGCACCTCATGGAATCCCCACCTTGTTTAGGGCCGCTGTTCTCCTGAACCAGACCCATTTGTTATCTCTTTGGCGGGGCTTATCAATGTCCTGTTCGACTTCTCAGCAGATGAAAAGAGATTATTTCTCTCAGCTGCCTTGCGAGATGATGCCACGAGACAAGCCGGCCTGTTTGAGAGGTCCCAAGTACCCACTAATTCCCACTAAGGGATCATTCCCAGCCCTTAACGTTCTGCAGATGTTGGAAAAGGAGCTCCTGCTACCTTCCCGTTAGGACTTCAAATGGCAAACCACACTGCCTGCCCAGGGAATTCTCACTTCGGGAAAAATCAGCTTCAAGGAGCTCGACCGCCACGCGTGGCTCAGACCCTGCCAAGGGACAGAGCTCTGGCTGCCAAACCCCAACCCCAAAGTCCTTCTGTTCCAAGGAGGGTTTAAAATTGATGGTGGCAGGGTGAGAAAGAGCCTCTCCCGTTTCGTGATGTCGGTGGAATACTATGCAGGAGCAACGGCATGAAAATCAATGCTAATTAGCTGTGAAGTGAAAACAAAATGAAGCTTGACACTCTTATAATCTCTATTTTGGCATTTAGAAATCCGGCTGTGACTCCAGCTCTGGGAGAGAACTGCATAAATCCATAAAATCAGCTCGAGACACCCGTGAGTCTCCCTCACCTGACTGACAGTGCTAAGCCTTGGATGAGAATGGAAGCTCAGCTATTCCAAGTTGCAGGAGCTGAGGGCAAAGCTTTACCAAAGCCAAAATGTTTTTAAAAGCCCCTAATGAAGGCAGGACATTAAGACAGAGGCTGAGGTGGTTTAAAATCCAACCTGGCTGCAGTGTCATTATCCACAGGCAGGATGGAATCCCATCTGTGCTGCCAGCCCTGGGACCTGCCCTGCAGGGCCTGCAGCTCCCTGGCTGTGTCCAGAGGCTGTCCCAAGGCTTTTATCCCCACAGGGGATGGCAGGTGTGGGGTTCTCTCCTCTTTACAGAGGGATAATACTGTGGAGAAATTATTTTTCCAGGAGTCCAGGGCAGCACCAGTGAAGTGAGGACATGTGGGAGGTGATCACTCCCTTCCCATCACACCATCCAGCCAAGGAGGCTCTTTAAAAGCCTCCAAAATCATGTGGATTGTTCAGATATATCTGAATTCTGCCTCTGGAAAAGCTTCATGTTTTGGGAATAGAAAACATATTTTAAGAGCCAGAGAAATGCTCTGGGGCCACTTAGAGGATTCCAGAATGGTTTGGGTTGGAAAGCACCTTACACCTCATCCCGTTCCACCCCTGCCATGCACATGGACACCTTCCACTATCCCAGGCTGCTCCAAGCTCCATCCAACCTGGCCTTGGACATTGCAGAGATGGGACAAGGGGATCCTTGTGAGGAGTCAAGTTCAGACCCGCTGTTCCTCATGCCTGTCTGACCTTATCCCACGGGCTGGGGAATCACCTCAGATCCAACCTCCCTGCAGCAGAATGATTCCTTTTGGAGAAATGCATCCAAAGCAGGGAAACAGCGCAGTGATCCCGTGCAGATCCGGCTCTGCTGTTCCATATTTATGATTTGTTAGCGCTGGCAGGAAGAACAAATTGCAGGTCGGGGGTGCTCTGCCATCCATGAAATCACACGGAGCTCAAGGACATTCCCTGCCTTGGGATGGTGGGGCA